AGGACACACTTCTTGGGGGCTGCGGTCAGCCCTGCAGGTGGAATAACCCCTTCTTTGCCACTGGGGTCTCTCCCGGGAGTCGAGTACCCGCAATTTGAGGCTGGGGTACTACTGTGAGCTGGACACCCCCCTTGGCACTGGGGTTCCCCCCTGCAAATACAATAACCATCACTTTGGCCCTGGGGTCCCCCCTTCGAGCCAGGCCCCTCCCCGGAGCCGCCCCTCCGGCCCCGCACGGGCCGCCTGAGCAAGGCCTCAGCCCGTCCCGGGCCGGGTTTCAGCGTCTCCATCCCGGCCCAAACCCCATCGCGGAGCCCTCGGGGCCAAGGGGCCTCAGGGTCCCCGGGCAGGGCCCGCGGCAGGGCCTGGTTGCGGTTTCCCCGCGGGGTTGCGGGCCCGGGCCCGGCCCCACCGCCAGGACCCCGCGCCCGCCACGCGTGGCCGCGGAGCCTCCTGGGACAGCGAGTCCATGCCCGCATCGCTCCCGCGGCCGCTGCACGCCCGGAGACTACAACCCCCACAATGCCCCGCGCCCCACCTCTTCCCCGCGTTCCCATTGGCTCCGCCGCGCCGTCTCGCGGCGGCACGGCGGGGTGTGATTGGCCGGTCGGGCGGTGGGGCCGGGGCGGTGGCGATGGAGGCCGGGAGGGGCCGCGCGGGAGCGGCGGCGCCGCCATTTTGTGTGTGAGGGGACGGGCCGGAGGCTCCTGCGTGGCCCCTCCGCGGTCCTTCCGCGGCCTCTCCGTGGCCCCGAGCCGGTGCTTCCTCTCCCGGGAGCCGAGCTCGGTCCTCGCGCTGGTCGTGAGGGGAGGGGCGGCGCCGCGGCCTCACCGGCCGCTCCCCCGTCAGCGCCCCGGGCCGGGAGCCCAGCGCTGCCCCGGGCGCCTCATGGGGCCGTGAGGGGCGGGGGGTCGAGGTTACCCCGCGGTCTGAGGCGGTGCAGGGGGGGGAGGTCCTGCCCGGGGGCTCCGCGGCGGGGGGGGGGGGGGGGGGGGGGTGTTCTGTAAAAATTAGCGTTAAACAGCATTTTGATGTTTTTCGGCAGCCGCAGCTCGAGCTGGTGCGGGGCTGGTCCCCCGTGAGGAGCAGCCGGGGGAGGAACAGCGCAGTTTTTGTGGAAGTTGGGGCCGGGAGCGCTCAGGGTCCCATACACCGCATAGGAGGGGAAAAAATACCATCCCTCGCGTTTAATCCTTTTGTTTCATACTTTTCAGCCAATTCCCGGCGGGATCCAGGCGGGATCCAGTGGATCCCAGCTAACATGGCCTCCCCCGGGGTGCCGAGAGCCTCAAAAACAAAAGCGTTTCGCTGTTTCCAGGGCCCGGGGAGCTCCTTGGCTGGGGACGGGGCGACAGACCCCGCGGCCGGAGGGGCTGATGCCGCTCCTGGGGCTGGGGAAGCACCTCCGGGGATTATTTTTTTTACCTGTGCAAAGTCAAAAAAAAAAAAAGGCTTTTTAAAAAGAAAAAAAAAAAAAAAGGTTTTTTTTGGAAGTGCTCAGCGCTGTTTGAGCTCTCAGCAGCGTCCCCACGGCTCCTCGGTGGAACTTCAGCTCCCGGCCCTGTTTTTCCCTCGGCAAAGGCCATTCCCATGTTTGTGGGGCCGGGTTTAGGTGCAAAACAGGGAGATTTGGGAGGCTTCTCTCTCAAGTGTGAGCTGTGCTGTCAGAGGCGGCTCTGCCAGTTCAAACCTGGGTTATTTTACATTTATGCACTTGGTGGGGTGGGTTTTTTTAAATTAGATTTCTGTTGTGGCTCTGCTGACAGTTTTTGCCCCCATGTTGCTTGAGCAGGTCCTGAACTCCAAAGCTTCACATGGGGAGCTGTGGCTGCCACATCCCTGGAATGTCCAAGGCCGGGGCTTGGAGTGACCTGGGATAGTGGAAGGTGTCCCTGCCCATGGCATGGGGGGGGGCACTGGATGGGCCTTAAAGTCCTTCCAAACCAAACTATTCCATGATTCCATTATATTTTTGTATCCCAGCTGCATTTCCAGAACTGGGACCTTTATTGGCTTTTACCCGTGACAGCTGAAAATCCCATTTCAAGTTGATTTTGCCAAACTGATTTGATTTGCCAAACATGCCCAGGTGCTCCAGGGTTTGTGGGGTGGGAGGAGCAGGAGGGGAACAATCCTGAGGGGCTGGAGATCCCAGCCAGGGTTTGGTGTGTTCCAGATGCACCAAGAGCTGCAGGTTTTCGGTGGTGGCCACACCAGCTGCAGATTATCCTAATTTTTTACCAAAATTCTGCACATCTCATAACCCAGAGGCACCAGGGTATTCCCAGCAGCTCCATGAGAGTGTCCTGGAAGGTAAAGCCAGTGAAGGGAGGTGCAGGTAAAGTCTGGCAGGACATGGAAGGGCTTCCAGTGCCGTGTCCTGGGTTATAACCCAGGATGGGATCAGGGAGCAGCCAAGTTTAACAGGCTCAGGCCTGGACTGGGAGATGGGAGCAGCTCTGAGAGCTGTTACTGGGACAATGGGACAGGATTCGGGGCTTCCCTCACCCCACTGCAGCATTAACAGGCTGATTCCTCCTTTTATTTCCAGTGTTTGCAGGGATCTGCTCCGTCCCTGCACTGGTCTATCCAAGAGCAATGGCTGTTCCTGCAGGTGGGATATGGGGTATCCCCAGTTTTGAGTTGGTGCTGTGTTTTCTGCCTCTCCCCAGGACAGAATTTCAGCTCAGAAATTCCAGAAATTTGTTTTCCTCAGCAAACAAACCCCCTGGGAGGGCGGGGGCTGGGAAAGCCCTTTGCCCGAGGGTCTCCCAGTGCCCCATTTTTCCAAGGCTGATGCCCCAAATCCAGCATTGGTGTTGCCTTCCCACATCCATGGAGTGGTGGTGAGGTGATTCCTGCCCATGGAGTCCTGGAATGATTTGGGTTGGAAGGGACCTTAAAGCCCGTTCAGCTCCATGGGCAGGGACACCTTCCACCAGCCCAGGTTGCTCCAAGCCCCGTCCAACCTGGCCTTGGACACTTCCAGGGATGGGGCAGCCACAGCTTCTCTGGGCAACCTGTGCCAGGGCCTCCCCACCCTCACAGCTACCAAAACCAACCCAAAACCATTCCATGATTCCAGCCTTTTGGTCCCAGGCTGATTCCTGCTGCCATCAGGCTCCAATCAGCTCCAGCCTGGCTCTGAGCCCAGCTCTGGAGCTCCTGGGAAGGCTTGGGATGGGGAGCTCTCCTCTTGGCCAGGGAGAAACTCAGGGATGGGCTCCCTGTCCATTACTGACCCTTTGGAGGTTCCAAAGGTCCCCAAATGCTGTTGGTCCCTGTCAGCAGGGGATTTGGACACAGGAGCTGGAATGAGCCCTTGGGATTGGGATAACCTGGTTCATTAAAACAGCAGAATAAAGCAGGAAAAGTCGGTGGAGCCAGAGCAGGTTGGGGAGTTGATCATTATGGTCCTTTTTTGTTTTGTTTTTTATTTTTAAGGTCTATTTTCTAAAGCATTGGCAGAGGAAATATTTATTTGGGGGTGTTGAACACACAGCAGGTTTGGGGTAAGTGGATGAAGGCAAACCCTGACTGGGAATATCCCCTTGGATCAAGGTGCTCCCATGGACCAGGAGCTGCATTTCACAGAGCCGGGCCCCTGTGGGACCCAGCCCGGTGCCATCGGACACGCAGAGAAAACGGGAATCCCGGAGAGGGAATCGCTCGGCAGGGACAGAAACGCCTGGGATGGAGGAGGAGGGGACAGCGCTCGGCCCCTCTCCCATCCCGCGGGATCCCGATGGATCGTCCCCCCCGCGCTGCGGTGATGTCATGGCACAGGGAAGGGGCCGGTGGCTCCCGGGCCCGTTTCCTTCCCCCGCTGGTGCCCCGGAGAGGGGAGGGTTAAACCCGGGCCCCCTCCCCTGCGGCTCCCTCGGCTGCCCCCAATTTGGTACCGACCCACCTGTGCCGCCAGCGCTGGGGACACTCCTGTCCCCTCTTTAACCCCTCTGTTCCTCCATAAACGCTGTTTTTCCCCCGCTGTAGCTTAAACCTGGTGTGACCCTTCCAGTGCCTCAGCGCTGCCCCTTTGACCCCCGACTTTGTACCAACCCACCTGTCCCCTCCTCCCCTCGCACTAACCTCCCTTATTTTTCTATAAAAGCTTGTTTTTCTCCTGCTTTAGGGAGGTTTGGCCAGGCTGGGGTTAAAAATCGGCCTGACCCTTCCAGCCCCTCAGCGCTGCCGCTTTAACCCTCGACTTTGTACCAACCCACCTGTGCTGGGGACACCCCGTGCCCTCCTCCCCCCCCCCCCCACCCCCCCGTTTTTTGTAAAAACCCCTCCCCCCCCCCCTTATTCCTGCGGGCAGGATCCCTGCCCAGGCCAATCCCAGCTCCTGCCTCTCCAGGTACAGCTTCCATTACCTCACTCCAATTCCAAGTCCCCTTGGCCTTCGCCTCCACCTTTTTACCCCTTAATTTACCTGTTTGCCCCCCGAAAAACTTCACTGCTTGGAGCTTTTCCTGCTTTTCCCTCCTCCTCCCCCCCTCAGGTGCAGGAGGGAGGTTGAGCCATCGCCTTCCCCTCTCCCTGTCAGCCATTTCAGGGGCCAAGTGCTGACTACCAAAACTTTTCCTTGGGCTGCTCCAAAACTTTAAGAGTTTTCCCTCACTTGTAGCTTTAAGTAGATTTATATTTTTTTTAGGCAATTTTTGCCCAGATTTCAGTTGATGACCTGGATTCCTACAGACCTGGGAGGAAACAGAGTCAAGTTTAAGTGAACCTTTAGGCAAACAGAGAGACCTCAGGTTACTCCTACCTCAGTGAGTGTCCATCACACACAGTTTCACCCCCTTTCCAATTATTTTTAACTATTTCGACAGCATTCAAATTGAAAATAAAGGGGGAGAAAATAATAACAAAAAAGTGTTAAGTGGGGAATTACAACTAATTTTAATCAAACAACAATTATAACATAATGAAAATAATTCAGGATGTATTCCCTGCTGGAATGCCATCCTGATTATTTTCTAGAAATCACACTGAAACCATTACAGTTACAAGTAATTAAATTTATTAGACCTCTATATTTTTTTATAGTCAGTTTTGGCCAATTTACAGCTTTCCTGGGGAATTTTTTTTCCTTTTTTTTTTTTTGTTTAGACACAAAAAAAAAATAAACCCATAAACCAGATATCACCAATACATCAACCCCCCCCTCGCCCCGTCACAGCCACCTAAAAAAGGGGGAGCTCTCGCCTCCCCCCCCAGCGCTTCAGCCCCATAAAAAGGGTCCGCGGCGACTCTGTACAAGGACCGTGTGTGTTCCACCCGGGACTGTAAAAACCCCCCCGCGCCCCCCGTGCCCAGTGTCACTCCCCCGGCTTGCAGGGGCCCTTCTCCTGCCGGGGCAGCTCCTGCTCCCGCAGCAGCCGCAGGTTCTCGGCTCGCAGCCTGTCCACCTCCCGCTCCAGCGCCTGCACCCGCGCCGGGTCCGCCGCCTCCCCTCCGGCTTTTTTGCTCTCCATCCTCAGCCGGTTGTTCTCCTCCTCCATGCGCGACAGGCACTTCTCCAGCTCCAGGTACTCCTTCACCAGCTCCTGCTTGCTCATGTTCTGCAGGCTCTCCACATGGTACCGCTCGTACGTCTCCGAGAAGTCCCTCTGCAGAAACTCGCTGCCGTCGCCCCCCATCCCGTCGCTGCCCCCATCCTCGTCCGCCGCCTCGTCCAGGAAATCCTCCTCGCTCGTGTCGTCCGACTTGGCGGCCGCTCGCCGCGGGTACAGCCCGGTCTTCAGGTCGGGCTCCTCCTGGTCGTGGTCCTCCATGAGGAACTGCGTGGTGTTGTAGGGGGCCACGGGCTGCCCCTTGGCGAACATCTCCGCCCGCAGCCGGGAGGCGCGGAGGCTCTGCCGCTCGTCGAACTGCTGCTTCTCCTCCCAGCTCAGCTTCGAGTACGGCTTCCAGCGCCGCTTCTTCTTCGACGGCCGCCGACGGTGCTTCTTCTTGCCGGGCCACTCCTCGGCGCGCCCCACGGCCCGGTACCGCGGGCCGAGGCCGGGACGCGCCGCTCCGCCCG